TTGTCCGGTTCAACCTATTTTAGCCCGGTTTATCAGTTAAGGTCATTTTCAGTAAAATTTTCTGGGATTATTTCAGTTCAGTAAAATCATGTCCAAATCAGTTCAGATTAATTCAGTTCCGGTTAATCCGGATAAGTCTAAAAATCAGATTAAGTTAAATAGAGCATCTTAACTAGATTAATCAGTTAAGTTAACAGTCTGAGCATAGTCAATAGTAATTGTTTATATTATTTTCAGTTTAGCAGGCATCAGCACTACCTACCAGTTCAGCAGTTCAGGTGGGGACTCAGACTACGTATCACATTGATTATAATTACAGTACCATGTTTGAGGTATGTATTTCAGTTCAGTATCTGCTCGGAATGGTCGCCGATCCATTCTGGGTTCTAGTGGCCCTAGTCTGCCCACTAGAGTGTGCACATGGTGTCCGGCTTTGCCGGCAGATGAGATAACGGTCAGGGTCACTTTTGAGTGACGATTTCAGGGTCATGTTGCATGACATTTTCAGGGTCACTTTTGAGTGACGAGTTCAGTTTTACCGGCTTGAGGTTGAGGTTATATACTGATATCATGATGTTGTTATTATTTTCGATGTTTTACATTAGTATGAGTTTCCACGGAGCACAGTGCCTTAGTGCTCACTCCCCAGTTTGTTCATGTTTTTCAGGTCAGGAAGTCGGGCCGGGAGCGTGACTTGATGGGGCATGACGGGTCTTTGAGGATATTTATATATATGTGTTTTGGACTGTATAACTATGACTTACGCTTCCGCTTACATTTTGACGATCTTTTGACGATGTTTTGATGATTTTGACGAACTTAATATATTTTGACGAACTTTCAAGAAAATTAAGTTTTCAGCAACCGGACGTTTTTATTAAATTAAAAACAACGGTTTTTCTAAGTTAAATAACGATTTTTCAAGGTAGCACCCAAATCAGTTTCGCAAAGTAAAAATGTTTAGTTTTCAAAGACTTTGCGAATAAGTGCGCAACTCTGATTTATTTAGTAAGGTGGGGTGTTACAATTGGTATCAGAGCACGTTTCTGCGTCTCTGATAAGTTTTCAGTCAGATAAGTTTTTCAGTCCGAAATTTTCAGGAAACCCGAACCGTCATGCTCACGCCCCGCCGACGAAAGATAAGTGCTGTTGCAATTCAGTTTTCAGTTATTATAAACATATTACTTTGTCTATGCTCAGAATTGAGGATAAGGACTTTAGTTTAGATGCTCAATCAGATTCAGACTCTAGAGGTTGGACATGACTCTAGTATTCAGGTATTCAGATATGACTCTAGACGTTAGGGTTTTCTTATATGACTCTAGAGTTCTTCAGGTTTCAAGTCAGTAATTATCGGCCAATTTTGGCAACTCGTCAAGAGATCTGTGTGC